GGGGGCGGAGGAGTGGCGCGCGCTGGAGGGAGGGACGGCGGCTCCGGGGTCTGGGGGCGACCTGTGTCTGCAGCTGTCGCTCGAAGACTCCAGAGACCTGAAGCGACGGACCTGGAGGAAATCTCTGGGGAACCCCCCTCGACCACCCCACCCCTCGCCCCCAGCCCCACACACCTGCCCCGGTCCCCACCCCAACCACCTGGCAACCCAGACCCTCCCGGACGCTGATAGGCTGGGCCCTGGCAACCAGGGGGCGGGACCAAAGCGCCTCTGGCTCAATGGACCAATCCTGCCGCTCCGTGGCCTTCGTCGCCTCGCCTTCCCGATCGCGGGGCCCGGCTCCCCCCACCTCCCAACGTCCCCGGGGGGCCTCTGCCCCTCTGAAAACCCGGAGGCTTCTCCCAAACCCCGGAAATCCCCTTCCTGGTGGGGGAGGGGAGCTGCTGGGAGACAGACAGCCCTGGGAATTTAAAGGATGAGAGGAAAAGCGAAGATTTGGAGGAGAAGAAGGAGGAGAGGGCGGGAGAGAGAGAATGGTGAGAGGTGACCCCAGCCTTCTGCAGGGCAGGACACCCACACAAAGACTTCCCCCACGGAGCCAGGCTCTGGGAGGACAGGACTGAGTGTGGGGGAGTTGGCAGGTGCCCAAACAGGTGCAAGAAGGAGGAGCAGAGAAGATCCTATCCCAGGGTCCCAGCCCAGCTGCAGGGAGTAAAAAAAAACAACAAACAAAAAGCCAACCTGTTACCCTGATGTCATACTTATGGCGACCCCATGAAGGTCCCTGGATGGCGCAAATGGTTTGCGCTAGACTACTAACCTAAAAGTTGACAGTTTGAATCCACCCAGGAGTACAGCGGGAGAAAGGCCTGGTGATCTGCTTCTGTTAAGATTACAGCCAAGAAAAACCTATGGAGCAGTTCTACTCGGTAACATATGGGGTCGCGGGAGAACTGCCCATAGGATCTCCAAGGAGAAGCTGGTGGTTTCGAACAGCCGACCTTTTGGTTAACAGCCTATCAGGGCTCCCTGCAGGCAGTAGGAGGTGTCATTTTGGTGACTTCACCAACCTGCACAGGGGGCTCAGTGAGGGGCCTTGATAGGGGACTGACATGGAGGGGAGGAAGCGTGAAGGAGGGAGATGACCATCTTTAGTTGCCCTCTTGTCCCTCCCCTTATACTCCAGGTTGCACCTTGTCACCTCTTTCAGTCATGCCCCCTCACTGTGCTTTCTTGCTTTCCACATCGATGCCTCATCCCTCCAGACTCACAGCACCCCCCACAGTACCCCCAAAGAGCCAGCTAGCTCTGCCCCAGCTCTACCTCCATCACTCACACTTACACAGACACCCCACATGCACCCCACACATCCAGCCACACACATACACCACACATCACACACCACACACACACACACACACACCCCACACACATCATACACCACACACACCATACACCACACACACACACCACACACACACACACACACACACCGTTCTGGGACTTAGAGAAGGATGAGACTGGCACCTGGACAACCTAGGGTCGGGCTGGGGGGCTTCACTAGGGTGTGGATGGAAACAAGGGTTTGGGCTTTCTTGCTCCAGGAGTTATGCCCACAGTTGAGGTTCAGCAAATGGAAGAAAGAGAGAGGTGACAACATCAGAAGTGAATGGTCACTTAACAACAAAAAGACAAAAAGCACAATAAAAAAATGGGCAAAGGTCTTGAACAGACATTTCACCAAAGAGGATATTCAAATGGCCAACAAGCACATGAAAAGATCCTCAACGTCATTAGCCATTATTGTTGTTAGTTGCCATTGAGTTGGCCCCCGACTCATGGTGACCCCATGTGTTACAGAGTAAAACTGCTCCATAGAGTTTTCTTGGCTATAATTTTTATGGAAGCAGATCACCAGGTTTTCTTATGTGGAGCCACCGGGGCAGGTTTAAACTGCCAACCTTTGGGTTAGCAGTCAATAGCAAACTCCTCGCACCACCCAGGCTTCTACTGGAATGGCAATGATAAAAACAAACAAAAAACCAGAAAACAACAGGTATTGGCAAGGTTGTGGAGAAACTCGAACCCTCATCCATTGCTGGTGGGAATAATGTAAAATAGTAGGTACAGCCACTGTGGAAAACAGTTTGTTGGTTCCTCAAAAAGTTGAACATCGACCACTCCTAGGAATATAGCCTAGAGAAATAAGAGCCATCACACAAATAGACGTATGCACACCCATGTTCATTGCAGCATTGTTCACAACAGCAAAAAGATGGAAACAACCTAAGTGCCCGTTAACATATGAATGGATAAACAAACTATGGTACATACACACAGTGGAATACTATGCAACAATAAAGAACGATGATGAATCTGTGAAACATCTCAGAACATGGATGAATCTGGAGGGCATTATGCTGAGTGAAATAAGTCAATCACAAAAGGAAAAATACTGTATGAGACCACTATTATAAAAACTCATGGAAAGGTTTACACAGAGAAAGAAACAATTTTTGATGGTTACTAGGGAGAGAGGGGTGGGGAGGGAAAAACATTAAGTAGACAATAGGTAAGTGGTAACTTTGGTGAAGGGTAAGACAGTACACAATACTGGGGAAGTCAGCACAACTTGACCAAGGCAAGGTCATGGAAGCTTCATAGACACATCCAAACTCCCTGAGGGACCGAATTACTGGGCTGAGGACTGGAGACCATGGTCTCAGGGGACATCTAGCTCAACTGACATAGTTTATAAAGAAAATATTCTACATCCTACTTTGCTGAGTAGCGTCTGGGGTCTTAAAAGCTTGTGAGCAGCCATCTAAGATACTCCACTGGTCTCACACTGTCTGGAGCAAGGGAGAATGAAAACCAAAGACACAAGGGAAAGATTAGTCCAAAGGACCAACGGACCACAACTACCACAGCCTCCACCAGACTGAGTCCAGTACAACTAGGTGGTGTCCGGCTACCCCCACCGACCGCTCTGACAGAGATCACAATGGAGGGTCCTGGACAGAGCTGGGAAGCATGTAGAACAAAATTCTAACTCACAAAAAAAGACCAGGCTTACCGGCCTGACAGAGACTGGAGAAACCCTTAGAGTATGGCCCCTGGACACCCTTTTAACGCAGTAATGAAGTCACTCCTAAGGTTCACTCTTCAGGCAAAGATTAGACAGGTCCATAAAACAAAACAATGGGCACACCAGCCCAGGGGCAAGGATGAAAGGCAGGAGCGGACGGGAAAGCTGGTAACAGGGAACCGAAGGTCGAGAAGGGGAGAGTGTTGACATGTCATGGAGTTGGCAACCTATGTCACAAAACAATATGTGTGTTAATTGTTGAATGAGAAACTAATTTACTCTGTAAACATACAAAAAATTTTAAAAAGTTGAACATAGAACTACCACATGACCCAGAAATGCCAATCCTAGGTACACACCCAGAAGAAGTGAAGTCAGGAATGTAAACAGAAAACTGTATACCAGTGTTCATTGCAGCACTTTTCACTATAGCCAAAAGGTGGAAACAATCAAAATGTCCATCAACAGATGAATAGATATACAAAATATGGTATATACACACAATGGTATACTACTCAGCCATAAAGAGAAATGAAGTGCGACAACATGGATGAACCTTGAAAACATGCTGAGTGAAATAAGTCAGTCACAAAAGGACAAATACTGTACGATCTCACTTACATGAAATAAGCAAATATATAGAAACCAGAGCTTATTAGCGGTAACTAACAAAGGGTGGGAAACCCTGGTGGTGCAGTGGTTAAGTGCTACGGCTGCTAACCCAAAAGTCAGCAGTTCAAATCCACCAGGCGCTCCTTGGAAATTCTATGGGGCAGATCTACTCTGTCCTATAGGGTCACTATAAGTTGGAATCGACTCGACGGCAATGGGTTTTTTGGTTTTTTAATAAGAGGTGGGAAACCCTGGTTGCATAGTGGTTAAGAGCTTGGGTGGTAACCAAAAGGTCAGCAGTTCGAATCCACCATCCGCTCCTTGGAAACCCTATGGGGCAGATCCAGTCTGTCCTATTGGGTCGCTGGAAGTCAGAATCAACTCGATGGCAACAGGTTTAGTAAGGGGTTGGAGGGAGGGATGAGGGAGAGTTTTTACTTAGGGAGTACTGAGTTTATGTTAATGGTAGTAGAATGTTTTGGAA